TTTGAAATACATTTCAAGAAATTACAAAAGAGGCTAAAAATTAGGCAAGGTGAGGGTATAAGAGAGCAATTGTGGAGCAAAGCTGGAATAGGACACAATCAACACAGGCAGTGAGCATTGCCACACTCAGTGGCATTAGAGAACAAAATGTTTTGTGCAAATTGAATGAAGTTTTATACTTGAGAGCAATTCTATCAACCGGGTGGTTTTATGGACAAAGCCTGGGGCGCACAAATTATTTTTGCACTTCGAAGGTCATTTGACTCAACACGAAGCGGGCTTTCGTTGACAGGAATCATGATTCTCAATTATGAACATTGACGTGCTTAGTTAATACCACGGCAGATATATTGGTTGCTGGTATACCCTAGCAACCCTTATTAGAGCATGCTACGTGTTGTAAATCTGGAGGTGGACGAAGATATATTGCGAGAGGTCGAAGTGTGAATAATCGGTGAAGTGTAGAAAAGCGAAGGTCATATAAAGTGTACCTCTTGGTCAGGCAGTGCCTCATTTTGGTCTTCATTCCTAATGTAAACTGAGATTCAGCTCGGTTCGAGCGATGTCGAGCATTCATTACTGACTTCAAAATGAAGTCAGCACTACACGCAGTTGTGCATGTTCACTAAGTTAAAGGATTTTCCGGGTTCTGAATTTATCAGGGAGAAACGAACCAGTGGAGTGATTACTTTCATGAGACCTACCCCATTATCCATCAAAATATCCATATCTCATCTATGCGAACACTTGCATTCATTCCTTGCAGAAACGCCAATTTACCACTGAAAAAGTGCATTTAGATGATTTACGTAGCCTCACTGCAAGTACATGAGCACCAAGCCTGTGAGAACTTACTGTTAAGACCACACCCACACCTACGCATTTCTGGCTACGACGTAACGAAAGACAATGCAGTGTTGAGGGTCTTTCATTTGCTGTTGCAACTGCCATTTCACCTAATTAACCAACCACAGTGATGAGATGAAATTTGAGGAATTATAAATGCATGCAAGGCAGTTTGTCAGTCATGAACGTGTGTCATGCTGAGAATTGTCGTCTTCCTTCTCGTCGTTGCCTACTGCTCGGGTG